ACAACTACTGCAAGCAAACACCAGAAGGCTAAGCAGCTCCAACAAGGATAAAAAAGGACAGCCAAGTTCTCACAAGCTTTTCATAATCCCAAGTGCAATGATGATGCCACTTCAAAACTCTACAAAATAATATGTCAATGACTGCATCACTAAATACCTAATGACATCAACTGAGGCAAAAAAAGATTTCTCTAAATTGCAAAAAGACAAATATATAATATATCATATATAAATATATGATGCCTCACACCCGGCGGCTCGATAACAAGCACTCCAAAGAGTTTAGCCATCATAATTTGTTAAAACATAGAAATAATGATATCCCTACCAAAAAAAAAAGGAGGAGGGGATAACATGTTAACAGACATCATAACACCGAAATTCCATATATAATAGAAAAGAAACAGAATATCCAACGTTGGATCAATCGGGGATGGAAGAAATCCCCTGTTCCATCTGTCCATACCCAAAACTGTCTCCAAGGTGGTTTGTACACATCTATTCAATCATTTTACGTCTTTTTGTTGCTGCATATCATGTTTGTACAAATCTTCCCTTTGTTTCGTGGGCCTCTAGTGAGTTGAGGCATCTATTACAATAATGACTCATGAATCAAAAACACAAAATTGGTATTTTTCTTATCCTAGTATTTTGCAAAAAATCATGAATAAAAAACTGTTAATTGGTATTTTTCTATAATCTTACCTTGCAAAAATGGAGAGTTGATATGCCAAACATCGATATTGACCAGAGCTGACATCTGATATGCCAGGGTGCCCTATCAGACAAAGAGAAGAGCTACAGACATATACAAGGATGATACATCAAAAAACACACACACAAAAAAGCCAAAAAATAAAAAGCAGAAGAGAGAGTGAAAGGAAAGAAAGAAAATATGACAAAAGATTGAGGCCGATCCTCATTATGCATTCCAAATGTTGCTAAACATTCTCTGCCTAGGTATACCATTAAAATTATGAAATTCAATCAACAATAAAAAAAAATACCAGCCCGATACTAGGAGTTGGGGTCATTGAATTGGAAGTATCCCCATAAAACTATCCTAAGTTTCTTCATTGTGTTTAGGGTGGGGGGAAAATGCTCAGTATCAAACACATTCTCTATGATTAACCATGCAGTTTCTTCATTGTGTCTAGGGTGGGGGGAAAATGCAGATAAGTATCAAATATACTCTCAATAATTAACCGTGCTGTTTTTTCATTGCGTCTTTGGGGGGGCGGGGGGGGTATTCTCTAGATTAACCATGCAGAACTAATTTCAAAACATACATGCAGAACTAATTTCAAAACATTTTGGTTAATTGTTCACAGACCATCCATGCAGGAGCTTTACTTAAACATCTTAAGGTAAACATGAAATAAACTACAAACAACTTCAAATGTTAAAAGATGCAGTAATGCAACAAAGTAAAAGAGGGGGATAACATTATCAAATAACTAAATATAGGCAAACAATGGAAAAAATCTAGTAGCAACTCCACTAAGAGAAAAAAGAAGCAGAAAAACAATAAGAAGCTTCTTACAAGATTTCAACCTCCCAAGGAAATAAATCATTGTTCTTCGCCTCACGACCAACTCTCTAACATGCAAAGAAATGACCCCACCATTCCTTTCAAACCATTAAATATGTTTTTATTTTTTATTTTTTTATAAGTAAAAATATATTATAAAGACGTTCAAAAAGGGAATGCGTCCCTAATACACAACAGATCGAGGAGCAAGCGCTGCCTCTGACATAACAGAAAAGAGAGCGTAGGATAAAAGACTTAAGGTTTGCAAAGACGATTCCTTCCCTTCAAAGTTTTTGTTATTTCTCTCTCTCCAAATACACCACCAAACACAATGTGGGGCGACCCTCCAAAAATCACGAGCATGACCGGAAACAGGGTATCTTCTCCAAGCATTAATTAATTGGAAAGAGTGCTTAGGTATTACCCACTGAAAGCCAAAAATACTGAATATGAGATTCCAGCAATCAGATGCAACAGGACAATGCATAAGAAGATGGTCCACGGACTCACCATCATTTTTACAAAGACAGCACCAATTAAAAATGTTATTACCTCTCTTACGCAGATTATCCAATGTTAGAATTTTTCCCCAAGTAGCAGTCCAAACAAAGAAGGCAACTCTAAGAGGAGCTTTAGAGCGCCAAATACACTTCCAAGGGAAATCATATCCAATAAAATTAGACAAACACAAGAACATGGATCGAACTTCAAATATACCATGGAAAGAGGGAGTCCACAAAATATCATCACAACCTCTGCCAACATCTTTCTGTCTATACAACAGGTTCAAAAAGATTCAAACTTCAGCTATCTCCCAATCCTGAAAGGAACGCCTAAAACGCACATCCCACGTAACTCCACTGTTATCAAGATAATAACAGTCAATTACATAAGCATGCTTATTCTCGGCAATGCTCAAGAAAAGAGGAAAAGAAAGAGACAACAATTGATCACCACACCATAAGTCTTCCCAAAATCTAACATACATACCATTACGAACCTTGAACCGAATATGGATGGAAAACACATCCCAACCTTTCCGAATTAACTTCCAAATGCCAACGCCCCCGGTAATAGAAACAGGACGAGAGGACCGACCTCCACTCTCTTCCCCAAAACGACACGAGATAACTTTTCTCCATTGTCGATGACGTTCTTTACCGAATCTCCATAACCACTTCCCCAATAAGGCTATATTGAAAGGGATTAACTTTCGGATACCTAAACCGCCAAACTTCAACGGTTTGCAAACTTGCTCCCAATTAACAAGATGATACTTAAACTCCTCTCCTTTTCCACCCCAAAGAAAATCTCTCTGAATTTTTTCAATTCGTTCAGCAACAGAACACGGGATCTGAAATAGAGATAAGAAATATGTGGGAAGGGACAAGAGGGTGCTCTTAATAAGAGTGACCTTCCCCCTTTTCGAAAGATCATTTAATGGCAATAGCTTGCAAAACCTGAAAGAAACAAGACTGCAGAAGCACCTATCAAGGACCATTCAACACTTTGCAAGATATATAGCTGCAGAGAACGAAATATCAAATTTTTCATAAGCCAACCAAATTATCAGTCTGGCTACCATAGATTATGTACATATTTTCCACCAGTCATGAAAATAAACAACAAAACCTACAATGGCAATGCCTTTTGAACGCAGGAGTCCAGCTATCAAAACAGCAAACAACAAAACTTAGAAAACTGTCAACAACTACTCCGAATAGAGTGGGCAAATGATGTAGCAATAACTTTACTTAAAAGCAAAGAGTAATACCGTCCTCAAGCTCATCAATGTTCATCAGAAGGATTAAGAATCGCTGCCAAAGACACAACATTGTTGCATGAAATTCTTACAATCAACATAAATAAATAAAAACTGTATTGATAAGCAAATAGGAAAAGAAGACACTTCTTCACTTGAAAGGCAAGAATATTTAATGAATTAGTCATCATGATGGGAGAAATAAAAACTGACAAAAAAATGAAAATGTAGCGGAGACAGGATTTGAACCTGTGATCTCAAGGTGATGACCTTGCAAGCTACCAAGCAGCTCTACTCCGCACTAAAAACAAGAACTGTGAACTAATAAACACACAAGGATTGAATGTACCCCTCTACTGCTCCGATAATTAGCAATGACCTTGCAAGCTACCAAACTGCTCTAAAGAGAAGAACTGATAACTAATAAACAAAAACATATTGAATGTACCCCTCTACTATTCCGACGAGAAACATCAAATCCATTAAATTTAAAATTCTTAAAATGAATCATTGGAATCTAATAGCCCAAGTTTTCCCCCTAAAACCCTAGTCGCCATCAATATAGTGATAATGCACACAATTGCCAATAATGAAATCACAAATAGATATCAAACAAACAAGATAAATAGTAAACAATATAAAGAATCAAAATTAATTATCTGTCAATAAGAAGCCCTTTTTCTCAAATATGCTTATAAACCTATAATGGAAAAATCTGAATATCAAATTCATCTTAGTTTGAAAAAAAATCACAGAAAATTTCAACAGAAGCAGTTTTAAACTTATAAATGTATGCAAGAATATATAAATGTATATATACATATATACATACATGCATGCATGTTGGAAGAACTAACTATACAAACATGATAAATTACCAATGAATTCTTGGTAGAAATCAAATTAATTCAAAAAATCAACGGAAAAAACTTAAGTAATCGAAGCAAAACAGTAATCAGATTCGTGTAAGATAAGAAAGGGAAAACTGACCAAGCCTCGCTGGACGCCGTAGGGTCAGGTAGGTTTTGGGCTACTATATCTGGCCAGGGCTGACAATTTTAGAGTGCTATGTTTGGGTTTACCTTTGTATGATTAGTCCACGTTTTTTTGCCCAAGTTACGGCATTTATTTCATATGGGCTGTTGAACTTGTCCACAGGCCTTTTTTTATACTTGTAAATATCATTCATGTATACAAATTGCTTGAATTTGCAGGAGAAAAAAAACTTGTGGCAGTGTCCAAATGAAAGCCCGTCTGGTATGCTATTTGTTTCGTCAAGCCCCATGAGTTATGTTGTTTGATATACTTTCTTTAATTAGTCACTAATAAAAACCTGCAATTGTGGATTTGAATATGTAGAAGGAAATGTTGAAGACAATGTCAAGTGAACTCTATCTTCTTTTGGCTTTTAACTTCTAAATGAGCATGGAGCGCTCTAAAACTAAAACCCAGCCTCCCTATCTAGTCAGCCTAAGATTAAAAATTTTATTTCAAATATCTCGTCCACAAATAAAATTTTATTTCAAATAATTTCATTTCGTATTTAGATCATTCCATAATCCACCACGGGCACATGCACCTATCCCACATGTACCAAACAATTAGGATAAAATTCATTCGGGTTGACCAAAAGGGAATCAAACTTCCGAACTCCTATCCCCTTGGATTCCTATTTTTTCCTTTTGAAATCTTATTCTCGAAAAGATATGTTCCAAATACATAATTGAAGTGCATAAAATAAATATTTGAATGAATCACAAACTTAAAATTGCACCATCCTCGTTATCAGGCCTACTTCATACTAATTTTCCTTGATACCAAACAAAATTCAGAAAAATTATTCCTTTCATGCATGTTAATTTACATTCTGTATCATTCCTAACACAGAACACTTCAAACTTAATCTGCCTCCTGCAAACCATCCAAAACAACCGAACCGACCAACAACCCGACAGCCCCGACTCCAAGCGCTGCCGCGATAACTGCCTGCACAACCACGAGACTGGTGGAGTCATCCGGAATCAAAACTATGGTCAAGATAGCTGCCACCAAAATGGGCAGTGACGCTGAGGCCAAAGCCGATGGTGAGAAGCTGGCGGCCTTCTCAAGCAAGCTCAACAACCCCAGCTCTTCTGCTTTGGAGAACACCCCTAACTTCTCGATTGATGAGAGAGTAAATCCCAGTTGCTCAGCCTTGGACAACAGACCCGCCTTCTCAACGTTACTAAGAACTTTTCTCTTCTCCAGCTTCTTGAAGACATCCACTTCCACGTCTTCACTTCCTTCGTAAAAAATTCCAGCTCCAAACCATTGTTTGTTCCAGTTATCATCTAACTTGTTCACCTGCATTGTTAAAAAATAATTTTAACACATTACTGGTTTGTTTAGAACCCATAAAAATGATCGAAAATATGGAGAATGAGAGACAAAAGTCCAAGCAATCTATTTAAGTTTCAGCATCAATGGTAAAGATAATAGCATTCTACATTTAGGATCCATTAGGATAAATGAATGAATTTGAAGCAAATGCAATAGAGTTTAAACAAAATTTTGTTCATTGACGTTGGTCCTGAAAGTCAAGGGGATATTAGATTAGAGGTAGCAGAGATAAATTGAGTGGATCACTTTATTTTCCCTGGTAAAGGATAAATATATTAATTATAGCTGCAGTTGTGCCTCAATTCCCATCTGCTAATGCAACCATAGCTGAAGCAATTGCACTAAGAAAAGTTGTCAAGTTGGAGCTATTGTTGGGTTTTCAAAGGTTCTTTTTCTAAGGGGACTTATAGGTAGTTTTGAAAGCTGCTAATGGAGAAGCAAGAGAGCCTTTTGAAGTAAAAAGCGCGCTGCTCAACATTAGGCATATATGCACAAGTTGGACTTAGGTAATCCTTTTGAACAGAACATCCAATAAGGTTGGTTGCTCATAAGTTGGCTAATATCAACTACTCTAGAAGGAAAGAGGATTTTAATGTTCATTGTGTTGGTCCTTCTTTTTTGGCCTCCACATTTTATTCTAGAACCCAACAGAACTGGATTCACCTGATGAATTTGAATTTATCTTCTCTTTCGTCAAAGCAGCAGCAAGCAATAGGCAGTTTTCACTGTGAGTTTCCCAAATCTACTCTGCCCCCAAACCTATTCATCATTGCTATCATTTTTAGTTAAAGAAAGCTTAAGGATGTTTTCAGCATCAACGTCCAAAAAATGATTTCAAATAAGGCCAGATTTCCAAATTATTAACTAAGGGTCAAAGACCAGAAACTTTATTTAAACTCGCTGTCCTAAGTAACCAATTGTGTGATCCCATATGCCAACACTTCCAATTTTTAATTCTCCACTTCAGTCTTCTTCTCAGGAGCTCATTTGCACCCAAAATACTCCTCTATGCCCTAAAAAGGAACTATTTGGAAAATATCTAGCATTAAATAGCTTATACTAATACAAAGTTTCTCCTGCTACCTGAAATTTACAACCTTGTTCAGCCAAGGGTGCGGTTATAAACTTATAATCCTTGCCCACATGGACTTCAAATAAATCCTTCCACTCCATCTTGTTATTTGATATCCATACATAAAAGACACTCTAGTCATTGTTAAAACTTAAACTTAAATCACTTATTCTAAATTAATGGTATATTCCGTTAGATGATAGAATATAAATCGATTCATTTCAAATCCTTAAATCCAAACGGTGCCCTAAAGAATTTCCGATTTCTTCTATTTCACAATTAAAAGAAAAATGTCTCTATGATTGTTTCAGTTCAAAGATAACCAGCTTACTTTTTATTTTCTTTTTAGGTTCAATCAAGTTAAATGTGTTTGCATTTCTAACAATTCAAGAGCTGAAAAAATTCTGAAAGAAGCTAGAAATTCATATAACTCATTACTCGTTTGGTTATCAGGAAAATGAAGGATGAATTGGAGAATGCAAGACAATTAGACAAAAATCAAGTTACTCTATCTAGTGTACATTTATTTTGCAATGAAAGAGCATAAAATTGTAAGAAAAGTAAAGCAATTTCGTATGAAAAAAAAAACTCTGATGTATTGTTTTGTGTAAGCTGTGCAGAATCATAACACATGAAGTGATCTTGATTGCTGTCCAGGGTAGTAACCTTAGTCTTGTCTGAAGGCCTAAACTAAATCCTACTTCCTACAGTGTGTATAAAGCTGCAAAAAACTTTTGATATAAACCGGGTTCAAGTTCAAGTAAGAACATTGACTTGGGGACTAATCTAAAATACCAAATTCAGGGCTATTTTCCCACTAGTGATATCTTCAATATAATGTGGAGAGTCCATTAAGCACCGAGTCTAATTAGGATAACTAAATGCACGTCACTATGTCCAGGGTACACAGGCCTAGCCTCGTTTAGTCATTGGTTATGAACTCAAACAGAGAATTACTAATTGATTTTCCCCAGCTTCTTATAGAGGTTGGGTTTGGAAAGAATATGCATGTCACTATGTCCATTCTAAATGGTTCAATTCACTTGCATTTTCATTCTTTTTCCCAATGCCTTCTCAGCAACCAGGTAGAGTTCCTTTGAATTTTGCTTTTGCTGCTCTTTATCTTTATTATCTTTTCTGAATTGTTTTGAAGGAATTGATATTTTCAATGAGTACTAAGAAAACTATCCATTTACTAGAGTTGATGTTTTCATATTTTACAAACAAAATTTACATTTTCCTCTGTTTTTGCATAACCAAAAGAAGGGTTTACGTCCGTTTACATATGAATTTATGATAAAATTCAATTTCCCTTTTCTTTCTACTCAGTTCTCTAGACAACAAAGAAGTGATATAAATTATTGAAACCCTAATTGAGTTGAAATAAATGGAGAAATTGTCTGTGTACAGGGTACCTTCTTTTTGGGTGCCATGGCGAGAAATCTTGAGGCATTTTTGGCGGGAAAGAAGCGTCGAAATCGAGACTCGGCGCCAAGGAAACTGTGTTCTGCATTGAGGTAAGCTGCTGGAGAAGCCACTGTCATCGCCATTGATAAGGGAATAGTTTATTTTCCAGATATTTTTCTCTGCGAATTTCCCTTACATCCAAACACCTTTCTCGCAATCCTGATCGATTACGTCGACCAATCAAATGTTGGTAGCCCTATCTGGGCAAATTGCTTATTTTTGTGCACACGTGAAAGAGTTAAATTACGAATTTAGCACTTATAAATCATATTTCTTTTGCACCAATTTTAAAATAATTAAAGCAGGATTGGCATAAGTAGGTACAGCGGAAGCGAACACAAATAATGGGAATGAGACTGAGGGCACATCAAGCACGGGTATCCATTCAGACAAATTGTGTAACTTAATGTTAGACCTGAGAGTATATAACGGGTTGAGATGGCCCGGCCGTGGTCTTGGGAGCCCGAGCTTGAACCCGTAGGCTTTAATTTTTAACGGGCCGGGCCTAAATGCATTTTAGAGAGCCCAAGCCCGGCCCTTGGGATTGACTAGACGGGATGTGGGCTTAAATCGGGCCGGGCTACAGGCTTTTATTATTATTATTTTCTTTGTAAAGTAATCCATTATGTTAATTTTGCATGAATTTGAATGTTAAAAACAATCCATAATAAAACATTAGTCTACAAACTTTACTTTGGTTACTGGGACTTCAAAACTTAAGCATGAAAATCTAAAACAATAAACTTATGTCTTATGTACACTTAACATATATCTTATATAAAATCCAGTAACTTAAGTTTTATAATTTTTAAAACAGTTAACTTATGTTTCAAAGTCCACACTTAATGTTTGAATCCAGTAAAAGAATATGGGGCCATGAATAAATAAATAAATAATTTATATAGTTAGTTTGGAATTTCAATAGTAAAAAAACAGTAAAAAATGAAAAAACTTAACACAGGTAACTTAAATATATAAATATAAATTAATAAAAAGTATCACTGGCTTTGGTGGTGGGCTAGTGGGCCTTTGATCGGCAGGCTCACGGGCCGGGCCGCGGGCTAAGACCTATACCCAAGCCCGTCCCACTATCTTATAAGGTCAGGTTGGCCGACTCTTCACGGGCTCGGGCCACCCAATGGGCTGCGGGCTATTTTTTCACCCTTGTGACACTAAGGATTTGTTTGGTACAGTGGGTTTGAAGGGGAGAAGATAACATTAGTTATGAAGGATAATTTTAACCACCTATCGTGTTTGGTTGGTTAATGAAGGAAAAGAAAGGGAAGAATAATAATCATGTTTGGGAAAAGAAAGGGAAATAAAGGAAAGGGAATTATTTTAATAAATTGACTATTATACCCTTTTGTATTTTAATATATATATATATATATATATATATATATATATATATAATAGAGATGGAGGCAAGACTGGGGAGGCTGAAATGATTTGCTCTAATTTAAGGGAAAAAAAAATTAGGGCAAATCATTTCAGCCTCCCCAATCTCGCCTCCATCTCTATTCTCGTTCTCAACTCTAAACTTGCCCCCCCCCCTCTCTCTCTATCTCTCTCTGTGCACTACAAGAATCATAAGTTCAAAACCCAAACCCATATATTTCAGTTTATCTTTCTATCTGCAAGAATCAAAAATTCAAAACCCATATCTGTATCATTTCAGATTGTTCAGAAAATCAAAACCTATATCTTTCAGTTTCCATCGCCGCTGTTCTAGTTCGGGTTTGCCGTTCGCCACTGGCTCGCCATCTCTAATTCTCTCTGCAACTGCTAACTTGTATGTATATTGTTTTGAGGGTAAAATTGGCTTCACAAATATTACATCAGCCATTGCCTTCCCTTTTCTTCCATTTCCTCCCATTTTTTGGAGGATAAGCAAATCACTGTACAAAGCTATACATAACCCTCCAAACCCTTCCCTCTCCTTTCTTTTCCTTCTAACCATTTTACCCAAACACAATTTTTTAATCACCCTATATCACATTCCTTTCCCTTTCCTCCCATTTCCACTTTACTAAACTGAGCTTAAGACCCATCTATTATGACACTATCGCCAACCTGGGTGGAATATATGTTACGTCCCAAATTTTTTGGCATTTTTTTAATTTTGAATTTTATTTTTTCTTAACGCCTTGTGTTACGTGCCGTGCACTGATTAATGTGTTGTGTGCGTCCCAAGAGTCATTTAGGGTATTTATTTGAGTGTAGAACTCTTAGATATGCATTTCGAGTCATTTCAGGCATTTTCGAATTTTGGACCGGGGGGATCCTGTGTGGGTCCGAGGTGGCCTAAGTGCGCGGGAATGGCGAGGGCCAAAGTTAAAGATCAATGGAGGGTACTATTATTGTATTTTAGGTGGATTGTTGCCTTAGGATAATTTCATGAAAGTTGTTTGGAGGAAGGGAGTAAATGACTATAGAATTTAAGGTTAAGTTGTGTAATTAGTGAGAAGTTGAGAGGGGGCTATATATATGAGATTTTTGGCAAACCATCCCCACTATTCATCATCTTCTTCCCTCATTTTATCTCTCTATATCTATAGCTATATCACCCAACATGTATATGTTTCAAAAAGCTTCATTTTGAGAACTTTAGCTTTTAATTTTGAGTGTGCCTAAGGAGAGAAAGTCGTTCATCTTCTTCTCTTTTACATAATCATGGTGAAAAATTAGAGATTTGACCACTTTGGGATTTTCAAAATTCCTAAAGGTTGAATTTGGAGTGAGGGATAGTTAGAAAAATTGTAGAGCATCTTTTGATCATCTACACAACGATGTGATTTTGGAAACCATTGAGGCATTCTTAGGATTTCAGCCAAGGCTAGTTGGTGGCTTTTAAGGTAGCTCTAAGAGGGAATGTTGTTCCCCTTATATTCTTCTTCATTTTGATGGTTCAAGCTTTCAATTTGGTGGAGTTTCAAAGCTTGGAATAAGCTAGGGTTTTGCATGTGTTGGGGTTGAAATTCACCGCGACCTAGTACGACACCGTTTCCTGCAAAACAAAGAGAGCTAAGTCAAACACCGATGTGGTGCCGGCCGTTGACCCTCCAACAATTAAGTTAGTGGGGGGTATCTAGAGAAAGAATTTCTATCGTAATCGTTCTAGTAGGAGTTTTTTGTCGTACCTTTATTGAATAGTAGGATCTTATCCTTATAGTCGTTCTCCTTCAGTTCATTTGCGGGATCAGAGGAGATCCGCTTGTGCGGGATTAGAGGAGATCCGCTTGTGCGGGATTTGTCGGGTATATAATTTACTCCTTTGACTTCCTCAAATTGTGCTAAGATTATCCTTACCCTGTTGAACCACGCCATCTTTCATTATCATTGATAATGAAATATTATCATTTTTATCCAATGAAAATATCATCGTTCGAACCTTAGAGGAAGTCTGGCTGCTGGTTAACACTTAGTTGCCTCTATCGGTAGGTCAAGATAGGTTAGGTTTATTTTTCCCTATTAGTCGCTCCCCATTCCCAAGCTTGCTCGTCTTATTTTCGGAATGTGAAATTTTTTTTTCTTTTTTTTGCCCCAGTGCCGTGGGTATTGTCCATTTGAACAGTATTTTTTTTTTTTTTTTTGGTACCCTTGGGCACTCTTCCCTTGGGTAATGTTCCCTTGGGTACTATTCTCAATGGTGGAATTAATACGGATACCAAATCAAGGTTCTGTTTTGGAAGGGTATGGATTCAAACCCATGGTCAATGACTCTTAGTGATGTAAAACTGAATTTTTCTTTTGAAAATCAAATATACTAGTTGTAAACTGTAATACCCCTAATTTTAAAAGGATAGTCTCGGTATTTATTTATTTGTTTTAATTGTATTTTTAATTATTTAATTAATTATTTGACTAATTGCTTATGTGTTTAATTGAATTAGGTATTACTTGATTATTTGATTATGTATATATGTATTATTTGTATTTATCTATGTGTTAATTGTTTAATTAGATTATGTGCTTAAATGGTGTTTTGATTAATTGTAAATTAAATGTTTTCTTTTCTTTTATTATTTTATTTTATTTTTCTTTTATGGTTATAGTTAGTAGTAATGGGCCAACCAATTAGGTCCCATGGACTACTTGGATAGGAGGTTGGATGGGTATGGATAATTACCCATGAATAGTTGTATATGTATATATATAGATATATATGTACATACATATATATAAAAAGGAAAGTAATTTATTAATATTATAGTAACTTTAGTATTAATAAATAATCTGATGTATATATTTTATATATTTATATAATAAGGATACATATATATAAAAAGGAAAGTAATTTATTAATATTATAGTAACTTTAGTATTAATAAATAATCTGATGTATATATTTTATATATTTATATAATAAGGATATAAATATATTTTATACGTAACATGTTTTAAGTTACCTTTTTAATATTATGGTAACTTTAGTATAAATAAATAATCTAATGTATATATTTTATTTATTTAATGAGGATACAGATAGATTATATACGTAACATATTTTAAATTACTTTTTAATATTATGGTAACTTTAGTATAAATAAATAATCTGATGTATATATTTTATTTATTTAATGAGGATATACATAAATTATATACGTAACATATTTTAAGTTACCTTTTTAATATTTTTATTTTTTTATTTTTTTTTATTAAGTTGACTTGGATTGGAAAAAGGAATAGGGTTATTATTTAGCCTATAAATACACAACTATAGGTTAAAAAAGGAGTGAAAATATATCACGTAATATATTCTAGAGAGAGAGTTAGAGAGAGAAGGAGAAAGAGGAAGGAATAAGGAGAAAACCCTTTAGAGAAAAGATCAAGGAAGAAGAAGTTTAACTTTCAGTCCGAAAGTTTAAGGCAAGTTCTTCTTCTATCTCTTTCCCTTTGATTCGTGTTTCTGTACATGCCTAGGAAATTCCAGAATTTATTAAACACATAAAATTAAATAATTATGCATGTTTAATTGGGTTAGAATATAGGTTTTATGAAATTGGTTCATATCTGTTCTTGTGTTATGAATTGATAAAATGCATGATTTTGATTTGATTTCTTATGTGATTTTTTACATGTTTAAATTATGTATTTTTCATATCTGTGGAATGATGGAACGTAGAAACATGCCTAGGATTCCTGAACATTAAATAGGGACTAGGTTTGGGTTTTAAT